CGTACAGCCAGGTAAAGCCAAAGGTGTCATAAGCTCCAGCCGGATTGCTTCGGGGCAGTAGCTGACATATTGCCATCCCTGTATAATCTTCCCAGGGATTTTGGCTTCTTCACTCTTAGACCACGTGGCTCCATCTAGCATTAATACTCCTCACATCTGGGTGAGGAGGAGAGACTATTTTTAAGTTATTGTAATTATTCACCCCTGCCTTTTAGTCAAAGAACCCAGAGTGCCAAACATTAACTTGCTCACTTTCTGAAGATGCAAAGATGGACACCAGGGGTCAGTTGGCTGTATGGATCTATGGAGAGAGAAAGGCTTGACCATTGTCTCAAGTCCTGCGTGGAGCAGAGAGAGGGTGTTGTAACGCGGGGTCTTGTCGCTCTGGTCCATTGTTTCACATACCTCACAGATGCAAAGTGATGGACCGACAATTAGCGTTTAATGATCTGTGCTCACGATAGAAAGCAGATGTATAAATAAATAACACATGATTTTGCTTTGGAATACATTATGCTGCATTTCTGCAGAAGATGTAATAATGATTACGGTCATAATTACCCTAAGAAGAAGTTGCACTACCTCAATGCCAGGGGAAGATTTGGACAGAAATCAAAGCTGGCTGTTTCATAGAATTCACTGTAATCAGGAAATACAAATCAGAATTCTTCGCTGAAAAAGTCAGGGTTAAAGCCACACAAACCAGAGGCCCGAAGAAAGGTTCTTTGAAAGATTTGCCTTGTGTGTGCTGTGGTCAAGAACACAGGCGGTGCTGTTGGGTAATCCTTGGGCTGCCAATCACGAGGTCAGTGGTGGAAACTCACCAGCTGCTCTGAGGGAGAAAGATGAGCCTGTTCCTGCAGCGCAGTGGCTCTCAAGCTTCCTCATGCCGTGACCCTTTCATGTTGGGGTGACCCCCTCCCACCACCACCGCCATAAAATAGTTTTCGTTGCTACTTCCTCACTGTAATTCTGCTCCTGTTTTGGATCGGGCGACCCCTGTGAAAGGGTAGTTTGACCCCAAAAGGGGTCACAACCCACAGGTGGAGAACCGCTTCTATAGAGCTTTGTAGACTCCAGAACACTCTATCGGGTCTCACTATGAGTTGGAATCGACTTAATGGCAGTAGGCTGTTTTGGGTTTAGGGGCGCTACATTCTAGGCCCTTAAGGAATAGATTTGACTTGGACGATTTCTTCGCAGAGTAAAATTTCATTTATGAATACACAACACGTTTAGAAGCTGTGATACATCAATATTGGCCAGAGCTAAATAAAGTTTACCATTGCCCAACGTGTGAAAATGGAAGTTTTCGTTAAGGATAATTAAGAGTTTCAGCAAAATCGCAAGGTGCTAAAAAGACTATAAATGATTTTCAAGTATTTTAAAGGCATCCCAAACCAAATGGAACCAGACTAGTCGCCCTTGAGCAGTTGCTTCTCAGGGTGACCCGTGTACACAGGGCAGAACTGTGCTCCCGACTGACTTGTTGGTGGTAGATCACCAGGCCTTACTTCTGAGGCACTTCTGGGCAGGTTCAAACCCCCAAAGCTTTGGGTAGTAGTCAAGTGACACCAGGCGATCCCAGGTACCTACAAACAGCTGTGCTTGTAAGCTAAGCTTTGTCAACGGTCTATTCTCTCTGCACAGCCATTCACCTACCACTCCTGATTGGATTTAGGTCCTTTGAGCAACAGAGCCGATGCATGCCTTTCAAAATCTGGAAGCCTCCAGACCAGGGGTTCCTGTCCCCGAGCTTGACAGTGAGGCCCGGCGGTGCCTGCTGTCACTTGCTCTGTTCCAATGCTGTTGGTACCATTTCCTGCACTCCCCAATGTGGTCACCAAGACCTGCCCACTCTGACATGCCGACCACAGGCTGAGGTTGCTCAGACGTGGGGCTTCTGAGTGTGGGCTTGTGTCATGTCAATGCCTGGCCTGAGTCACTTCCTGCTGGCTGATGCACAGTCATAGGACTGGCTGTGACCAGCACCCCCCACCAGCTGTTCTCCGTTCTCCTGCCCTGCACCTTGTCAAGCCAGCTCTCCAGCTCTGCCTTTCATTCAGTCACTAAGACCCACAAAATGACAACTTGGGATGCCCATTTTTCTAGGACCATCCCCCCGCCCCCTGGGCACCCATCAGTAGGAGCCCTGATAGTGTAGTGGTTGCGAGTTGGGCTGTGATCTAAAAAGCCAGCAGTTCAAAATCACCGGCCGCTTCTTGGGGAGTGAGTTAGTTAATTGTGCCAGCCTGGCCAATAAACACGTGGGGTTCATTGAAGGGCGGAGGGATAAATGGCTTGGTGAGCCTTACCTTTCTAGTTCTCAGGTCTCTTGTTTTGTGATGGTTGCACTGGGTGCAGCTGCCTTAGCAGTTCCCTGCTTCAGCTTGCAAGATTGACTTCCTACAAGACATCCCCAAGGAGAAGCTACATGGACCTATCCCGATGCAGCCCTGGGTGCTGGAGCAGTCGTGTGGAGACCCCTGCTAGTGCTGAGATGCTTGTTCATTCACTGACTCAGCTTTCCTCCTGCAGTCGGCATCATTGCCTCTGTTTTGTGAGGTGGAGGACTTTGTGGACTGGTGTTGGGTTAATGGGTTAATGTTGGACTTGTGGGCTTGGGCAGCATTGGGTTGGGATGTTTTCGTGATGCACACTTTCTTTACATAAAACTCTCTTATACATGGGTTGCTGTGGATTCTCCAAAGTACCTAGACTAACACAGGGGGAGAAGGATGGGGCTTTCTCCTCTTGTGAAGAGTTAGAGTCTTGGAAACCCGCAGGGCAGCTCTAGCCCGCCCAACTGTGAGTTGGCTTCGACGAGATGGCAGAGAGTGGGCCTTCTTTCAATCATCAGTAGGACTGAAAGGAGAGGTGAAGCGGGGAACCCCAAGAGGGAGGCCTACACGTGGGAGTTCTTCCCACCCCACTTCCTTCCACAAGTGCCCACTGAGCATGTCCTGTATGCAAAGGCACAAAGCTGACTTTGATGAATACCTGCCCTTCCAGAAGCACTGGGGCTCCTGGGCAGGGGAAGAGCGCAGGACGAATTCTGAACGCCAACCATGCAGGAAGGACAAATGGCAAGGAAAGGAAATGCGTCCTCGTTGGTGGCACAGCTGGTGCCTTGGTCTCCCGTGTTTTGGGTCCCTTGGTCACATTGGAACAACCCCCTGGGCTGCCAGTCTGGGCAGTTAGAGGCTGAGCAGGTCAGAGCAGGGTCAGGAAGGGCGGGTACCTGACGGATATGGAGAAGTCTCCGGGGGAGCTCTGGCTGGCTCGGATGATGAAGAAGCCGACCTCCTTTCCCATGAGTAAGTTCTCTGCCTGGTGTCTTGAGAGGCCTTCGTGAAACCATCTGTCGAAGGGGAGGGAAGCAGAGGCACTTATCCAACACAACACAACACAATACAACACAACACCAAACACACCCAAACCAGCAGGTTTGACTCATGGTGGCCCCCGTGTGTCACAGCACAGCAGTGCGCCGCAGGGTGCTCCATGGCTGAGTTTTTAGAGGGTGATCGGTAGCCTTTCTTCCGAGGAACCTCTGGGTGGACTTGAAACCCCCAACTGTTTGGGGAGCTTCGCCCACCTGTCATCTTGTTTGGGTGCCATGGTTGTGATTGGAGGCCGGTCAGTTGATGCTGACTCACGGCGGCCCTGCAGGGCAGAGGAGAACTCCCCCATGGGTTTCCCAGGAGGAGCTCTGGTGGAGCCACGGTTTATGCATTGGGCTGTGAACCGCAAGACCAGCCGTTCGAAACGACTAGCTGCTCCTCCGGAGACAGGTGCCGCTTTCTGTTCCTGTAACCATCCCAGAACCCACTGGGGCAGCTCTCCTCTGGCCTACAGAGTCGATAGGAGTTGACATCCACTCGATGGCAGTGAGTGTCTTTGGAGTCTATGGGAGCAGACTGCCTCCCTGTGTTCCTGAAGGTTGGCTGGTGGGTTTGATCCCCGACCTTCCGGGGTGCTTCCTCACAGCATGATGGGATGGCAGATGAGGCCAGATGACCCTACGGGAGAGGACTGGGACACTATCACAGAACAGGAGAGGGACAAAGGGGGCAGATTCCAGGCAAGTGCTCCCCTGGATCCCCTTGCCCAGCTCTCATGGTTTCTTCCCATCCAAGGATGTCTCTCTCCACCTGGGAAAACCCCAATGATGGGCATATGCCACAGCACCACAGTGGGACAGCAAGGGAGGGACTTGCTGCAGGGAGCAGCTGCCTTTGGCTGCCGCAGCAGGGCTACTCGCAGGAGGGACAGGCCTCTTCCAGTGGGGGCCACGGGCCAGAGCCAGGCTGGTTTCCACCCGGGCTGAGACCTCAGCTGGCTGCGATTTCTCCTGGGGGGTTGTGAAGAGGGACAGCCTCGGGCCTGTGGAGTCTAGCCCAGGCCACACACTCGCTGCTCACCCCATCAAGGGCATTGAGGGTGGCCTGCAGCAGCCAGGCCCCTGGGTGGTACGGACCGTCCACTCTCAGTTACTACGGGAGAGAGCCCCAGGAAGTCCCATCTGCTCAGACACACCCATGGGCTCCAGGAAGATGGATGACTTGATGGCAACCATTAAAAATTTTTATTTATTTTTGCAGCAGCAGCCAGAGAACAGCGTCTACCTTGATGGCTCCTGGGCCCTCCCCCAGCGCAGGCTGGAAAGGTCTCCATGAGGGAGAAGAAGACATTAGGATTCACTGACCTTTCAGGAGGGGGGTCAGGGTGGCCCATGACATGGCATGTCTTAGAAAGGCCTGGCACTCAATGGGGGTGGGGTGGGGCGGGCAGGGGGCAGGCCAATAGCGGCTACACCCTTGGGCAGGCAGGGGAGGGGGAAAGACAGACACTTCTCTCAGCCCCAGCAAAGCAACGTGAGCTGATCCCTCGGCTGACAGAGGGGGGCTGTCATGTGCTGTCAAGGTGGCTGCTGTAACAGCTGCCGCCAGAAGGGCAGGACTTGTACCCCTTTAAGGTGAACACCCAACAGGCCAGGGCTTGCACTCCATTGTGGGCTTTCTAGAATCCAGAAACGCGAAATGAGGCAGGTGGGCAGGAGGGACCCACTGGCTGCAGAGTTGGGCTTTAGGGGGAGAATGGTTGCACCTAAGGGGCTGGTTGTGCCCCTGGGGTTCCTGGGGGTTGCCTGTCTGGAGATGCTGTTAGAGTGTGCCCTGCACATTGCTGCCTTCAGTGGGAAACACAAGGAGGGTGAAGAAAGAGGCCAGGCTGGACAGCACCCTTCTGGCCAACGACGTGGGCAAGCAGACAGTCAGTCTAGGGGCAGGAGGAGGGTTGCTTGGAAAACACGCATTTACCCTCTGTGGTAGTTACATAACCTCCTGTCAACTTGAGGATATTAAGAGTGAAGGGGTGGAGTTTAGCCTGTCAATCAGGTTGCAGCTTGAAGACCTCATTTGGAAGCTCCAGGGAACTATTTAGCTTCCTGGAGGCCAGGCCGTACACTCTCTCTCAGCTTCACATTCCTGTTGACAGGCATATGGAACCACATTGATGACAGTCAGAGCCCTGGAGATGCGTCCACTGCCATTGGAGCCACAGGACTTCCCACCCACTGACCTGTGATCTTCCTGCATTTGGCATGATTGCATGTGCGGTGTGAGTCTGAGGAGGAATTCATGGGCTAATATCGAACTTAGGGACTTGAGCTGGACTGGGCTTGGAATGTTTCATTGATGCATAATTACTTCTTGATATAAAGTTTTCTCTTACACACATATGAATGTCTCTGGATTTATTTTTCTAGTCATCCGGGTCTAAGACACCCTCCAAATGGAATTGGAGAAATGACTCTCTTTAAGACATGCATGGATTTCCACCCACTACGAGGCCAGGGTTTGAATATCCCCTGCCATTCAAAAGCTATGCCTTCATTCAACGGCTGTTTCTGGAACATCAGCTGTGTGGAGCACAACAGAATACCTGTCTGACTTAGTTGCTTTGGACACACCATCAGAAGGGCCACTGCTGGAGCAGGCCAACGAGGGCATGGAGGACTCTTGGTGACAAGAGCCATGACAATGCACTTGAACTTGCCAATGAGAGTCATGACAGTGCAGGTCTGGGCTGTGTCTTGTTTTGTTGTCAGTCTTGTCAGAAATACAGCCAGAGTGCTCCTTCGAGGCAAGGATGGCGAGACTTTAGCTCACACACTTTGGACAGGTTGTCCGGAGAGACCAGTCCCTGGAGAAGGACATCCTGTTTGGTCAAGTGGAGGGGCAGCGGACAAGAGGAAGGCCCTCGAGGAGATGGATGGACACCTTGGCTGCATCAATGGGCTCGAGGATGGGGCAGGACCAGGCCGTGTTTCATTCTGTGGGATGCCAGGTTGCTATGGGCGCTACCCAACAACAGCACGGCTGCCCTGAGCCAGGGGCAACACAGTGGCAGCGAACCACGTGCTGGGCTCCTTTCTAGGCTCTAGGGACTCAGGGTGTGTAGAAGGGCTTGGGAACCTTCCCTCAAGGAACCTCCCTTCCAGGGGGGGAGACAGACAATAAACCACAAAAGACTTCAAATGCAGAGTCCGTCAGGGGATGCTAGGTGCTGTGCAGAACACGCTGATGAAGAGGAGGGACCAGGAAGGAGGGGTGGGAGGGGGGTGCAACATACAGTGCCAAGTAAGGCCTCACCGAGGAGGGAGGTTCTAACCCTACAGGAAGGGGGAGATGAGAGGGGACCAGCATGGCAATGAGGAGGGCGAGGGGTCCCAGAAGTCAAAGGGAGAAAGTATGTCTGCACCCAGGGAGGCTACCTCCAGGTGGACTCCTGCTGAGACGTGTAGCGTCTTGGACTTGAGACGTGGGGACTTGGACTCGGAAAGTTCTGGGGCAGTGGCAGGGTGTTCAAGAGAGATTGGGAAGAGAGGAGCTGGAGACTATGAGTATGAGGAGTCTTTTGAAGAAACCTGCAGGGGATTCCTCACCAGGAGGTTTCTCTGGTGTCTCTGTTGAGGTAGGAGAAACAGATGACCCAGGAGAACAGGGGAACAAAGCTGATGAGCGAGAGGTGGCTGGGGGGTTGGGGTAGGAGCGGGCGGGAGAGAGAGCATTTCTGCTAGGAGCTCAGACAACTCGTCCAAACAGCTGCAGGGAAGGCGGCGTGTCTGAGCACAGTTGAGGGAGGTGGGTGGATGCAGTGGGGGCTTCCTTTGTTCCAGTGAACCTGGAAGCAAGGCCCGCAGCTGAGAGTCAGGGGTGGGGAGACGGCGGGCTGAGGTCTAGAGGCAGTGGGGAGCTGCTCCTCTTGAAGCAAATAGACAGACAGGATTGCCAGGCGGCTTCCAGCCCCCATCCAAAGTCAGCGGTCAATCCTGGCCAAGGTCAGTGCTGGCTGTCCCACAAGGCAGGCAGGCGCCAGTCCTCCCTTGGCTTTCTAACAAACCCGCCTGCTCTCTGAGCTGAGGTCAGATTGCCATCTCACCCTTGTGGTCAGTTCTTGAGACAAAGGAGGCCCAATCTCAAATGTTCATTTCCTCTTTAGCAAGGGAATTTCCCCTGCCTCTGACTTCTCCCACACTGAGTTCATCTATGATGACGGCAGGGGGCGTCCACACACGCCTGATTCACAGCTTGGTTTGGGGTCCCTGGTTAGGAGGAGGGAAGGTGGGGGGGGGCGGGGGGTAGTGGAGGTAGTGGGGTGCGCCGAGATCTCCAAGCAGCTCTCTGATTGTGAGCGTTATGGATGCGTTTGGTGCCCACACTATGGTCTCCAATTCAGAAGGAACACAGTGACTTGCAAGTCTTAGCAGCGCCCCCACCCCCTCATCGTTGGCCTTCAGCTTCGCGCTCTCCTCTCTAGAGACAGCCCTTTTTGACGGAGTCTTGTGTCGGCATCGATAATTTTAGCAATGACCAAAAGGCAGGGGCGAGTGTGTGGGTAGGCCCAGCGCGGCAGGCAGGAAGTACTTACTCGGGAAACTGGATGTCTATAAAATTCTTGGGCACGTATCCTTCTTGGCTTCCCAGCTCCGCCTTGAACCACTCCTCCTGGTTGCTCAAGATCTATGAGGAAGAGGATGCAGGACAAGGACACCATGAGGGGACGGCCACAAAGCCAGGGAAGGAGGCTTCAGGGCTAGGTGTGCCCTGGTGCACCTGCACGTGGAGGGAGCAGGTGGGCCCCGGTGAGTCTCCATGTGGAGGGAACAGGTGTGCCCTAGTGCGTCTGCAAGTGGAGGGAACAGGTGTGCCCTGGTGCGTCTGCAAGTGGAGGGAACCAGCTCAAGGAACCGCCAAGACAGCTCCAGGAGCCAGCCCAGCTCCAGCGGGCTGGGCAGCAGATGTATCTGTGGAGTTTGACTTCTCCTGACCCCCAGGTTTTTCTGTCTACTCTGCCCCGTAACTTGTGACTTGGTCTCCCAGACTCGAGACTTAGGGATCTCCCAGAACCCTTTCCTCCTCTTGGAAAGTCATTGGCCCTGGATCCCAGCCCCATAGGACCCTCATCTGGGAAGAAAGAGTGCTCTCTCAGGGGTCTTTCCTTCTCTACCAGGGATCCAGAAAATGTAAAGAGTGGGTTATTATCATGGTTTTAAATTATGTGAAACCAGCAGACCAGAGCCTCAGACATCTAAGTGGAAGCTGGCTTCGAACTCTTGGGGTTCACACTCTCGGGGGTTCTCAAATAGTCTGGACGTAGCTGGAGATACCCGGGAGAGTTTTTTCCAGTTTTGCTAAAGAGTCAGCTCACCAGCAACCCCAGAAAATCAGTCTTGAACGAGACACATGGCGCCCCATTGGTTGTAGCCTGCCTGGATGGCTCATGTTCCTCGCCAGGTGTCCCTTCAGAAAAGGAGGTTCACCCTTAAAAGACACGTGTGCCATCTCCCCCGCCCCAAGGAAGTCTCTCAAGGACGTGCCAGAGCCGCAAAGGACCGCTGGAAACGAGGGCGGCCGAGCAGAAGAGATGGGCAGAACCTTGATGAGGCAGGTCCCTGAGCCACTGAACTCACCCCCCTGGGAGCCAGGCTCTCTCTGGACGCTGTATGAGCACAAACACCTGTTCCTTAGAGCCCAAGTCCTTTTGGATTGGATGACAGGGTCAGCAGACTGTGCGCTGGAGGGAAGGCCATGTGGGTTGAATTGTCCAAGCAGGGCAAGGCATTTCCCAGGTGAAGTCGGATGACACAAAGAGTTACTGCTAGGCTCTCAGACAGCGTGGTCCATTCAGGCTGGCTGGAGGTCAGACCGGAATCCCGCAGAAGAGAGAGGGGAAGCTAGAGTCTCAGGACCTTGTGGCTCATGCTGAAAAGTTTGGAATCCATAAAGGCTTTTTCGGTAGACAAGAATTAGATGGGCGGCTTGGCCTCCCGGACTCAAGACTCTGAGGTCCTCCAGAAGAATTAGATTTAAGAGGTGGTACTGTATTGCAAGAAGGTGGCTTGGAGGGATGAAACTGGGGTAGAAAAGTGGGGGGGCTGAGTGCGTCACCCAGGCAAGAAATGATGGGGGCTGGGCTAAGAAGGGCCAAGGGTGTAGTTCAGAGAGTTGGTTGGGTGGCAGGGGCGTTCCAGTGGTAGACTTCTCCCCTCCATGCGGCCAATATACCTCATGCATATCCACGGACAGGGTGGTGCATTGCTCTGATGTGGAACAAATTTCGGTGGAGTTTCCAGACAAAGACACACTAGAAAGACAGATGCCCCAAATCAACCAATGAAAAGCCTACGTGATGGGGATAATCATGAGTCTAGGGACCAAGTTGCCTCATCATCAGCTAACAACACAGGGGGTCAATCGAGCGGGATTCGGGGCTTGTTTGTGGGAGCTAAGGGAGAAGGGGATTCTGGGAAGACTCTGGATTTTATGGCTCGGGAGGTTGAGTGGGTGGTGCTGCTACCTTTGACTGAAATAGAAAATCCAGGAAGAGGAACAATCCTGAAGGAGAACGTTGGGACTTCAGATTGTACGTGGGTGAGTTTGAGTTGTCTGGGGGACTGTGTTAAGAAGCAATGCCCAAGGTGTGTCTAGACTCAGGAGGTCTGACTGCAGCTTGGGATCTGGGAGTCATCCAAGCGTAGGTAGAGCTGAGAATCCCAGGATTCACAGTCTCTTTCTGCTAGAGAGAGGCTAGCAAGAGAAGTGAAGAGAGCCAAGTAATTGAGCCTCATGGCCATCGTGTCAATGTTGACTCATAGCCAACCTATAGGACAGAGTCACAGTGCTCTGTGGGGCTTCTTTTGGGTGGAATCTTGATGGCTATCGTTTCTGTGGATGCCGACAGCCACATCTTCTCCCGTGGAGCGGCTGATAGGTTCAAACTGTTGACCTTTCCTGTGAACAGCTGGAGAGGCAATGATGACCTATTTTGAGTATCACTCCTAAGGGGAAGAATGGACAGGGCTAGGCGTCGGGAACCGGAAGGCCAGCTTTCTAGCTCGACACTCAATAGCTGTGTGCCCCTGAGCAACCATCTGAAATAGAGGATCATAATAATCCCTCGCACCTCACACAGTGGATGGAGCTGAGCATCACACAAGCCCTGGCAGGAGCAAGCCCTTCAGCAGAGGTCTGCTCTTTCATCACATGGAGGATAGGTAATTCTGTAGAAGGGGGTCTTCTTACAAGGAAGGACTCCAGCTCTGAAGGGCTCAGGAGGTGCTTGTCTGCAGTTTCATCATTGGTTCTGAAGAGGAAATACACGTGCACCCCACATTCGAGTTCTAGAATTTCTCAGAACAGAGAACAGTGTCGTTGCTAACATCCAATGTGACTGTTGGTATTGCGGAGGGCGTGTGGGGCTGGGTATGCTGGGGGTGGAGAAGGAAGCCGAGAATCTAGGTCAAAAGCAGAATTAGGAAACACAGGACCGGGGCTGTGTACTCCTAGAAGGCACCCAGGGACGTTTCCCTCTGCCGCCTCTCCCAGACGGATGGCCTTGCAATTCCTTTCTCCTGTCACCTGGGGACGGGTGTTTGGCCAGGGCAGAAGATGGCATGTATGGAGGTGAGCCTGAACCAGGTAGGACAAAAACTAAAGCTAAAACAAAAAACACTTGGAAACTGGCTCCCTGGGGTACCAACTGCCCTGTGCCTTCAGCGTTCTGACCTGCAGCCAGCTGCCATTGTCGTCACTATAGCTCTCACCCACCTACCTTCTCCGGCAAGTGCACAATGACCCTTTAACTTCAGCCACTTCACGCCACCACCCAGTGGTCAGCCTGCGGCTGAGAATGTTTCCAGACAGTGGGATGTAGAGGCGTTTGGTGACATAGAGAAAGCAAGTGTTTTTTTAAAATCCTATTTTCTGGAAAGAAAGGTTATTGGAAGGCGGGATGCATGAGGTTTCTTTCTGTGGCTGGTCCAGGGCCCTGCACTTCCTGCTCTTCCCATCTCTCCACCTCCTTGCTCCCCGCGATCTCTGTGAGTCTTGTATAGCCAGGGCAGCTGAGCGCATCGGAGACCCACCAGGTTTTGCCCTGAAATCTGCTGGGCCTTCGTTCTTCCCCGTGGTTGAAGAGAATCATTTCCTGGGGAACATGGCCTCCGGGAATCAGTGAAACACGGGCAGAGAAAGGGCCAAGGGTTCGGTTGGAAGAATTTTCAAATTGGATGGAATTAGAGCTGGTGGAGGCCGAGTAGAAATTGGAAGCACGGCAGAAGCTAATTATGTAGGATTAGCAATTAGAGCTTGGAGGGCGCTGTTGGAGCAGAAGGAAATGGGGGTCAGGCTAGCCCCGTTGCAGAAGCCCAGCGTAACAGACTGGGGCAAGAGGCATTTTTCAGAACCACCGCCAAATTCAACCAGGCAACGGACACCACGGGCCTGTGTGCGATTGCAGGTGAAGAGATGTGTAACCCACATGCGGCACATCTCACAGGCTGCCATCTTGTTTACTCTTCCCTGTGGGCCGCATCCAGTGAGCACCTGCTGGTGGCATTTATGGGCTGGGGACATGGAGATGCATACGCGAGTAGGGACCTTGCAATCTGATGGGGAAGCGGGTGGCTGGCCAGCTAGTCAGACTTTTTTTTCACTTGCTAATGAACGTCTCTGTTGACTCTGTAGCATCGAAGGGCAGACAAGAGAGAAGAGCAATAGCTGGGGGGAGCCCGGAGCTGGCCTTCAAAAACAACCGTATGGATCCTGGGCCATGTCGCCCATTGTTAGAGGACAGGGACAGACATCCAGTGGATGCACACAGAACCACAGGCAGAGGACACTGGCCACCGCGATACAGACCCTCTGGAACGTTTCACCACCACGCCTCTCTCCATGCTTCTCCTTATTGCTGCTCCAGCTGCCATGGGCAGAATTTGAAGAAGCAGAAGAAAAAGGCGCCATTTGGCTCACCGAGGGAAGTCTGACTAAGCACGCAGAGATGCAGCTGAACGGCTCAGGAGATATGAACTGAGCACAGATGTTGGTCCACGAGTCATGTCGTTTCTCTGCTAAGAGGAAGCCAGAATGACTCTGCTCCCAAAGAGCTTACAGGCAAGTGGTGGAATCATTTGTTCTATCATTCATTCATACATCAAATACCTGGGATGTACCAAAACACTGAGGCGGACCCGCCCTCTGCCCTTCCAGAGCTTTGGCTTGGAGAATAGCCAGTGTGAATGGACAGTTCGGATCTCAGGATAAGGACAGGATGGGGGATGGATGGGCAGGGAACCTGGGGGCACGGAGCTGCCAAATGCCCCTAAGTGCTGCCACTGAAGGAAGACCCTAAGTGTCCTGAATAAAGTGGCTGTGACACCGTGGTAAGGGCTGATGAGGAAGCGATGGGGTGGGGGTAGTAGGAAGTGGGGAGGATCAGGGAAGGTTTCACGCCTGACGTGTTGCAATGTGTGTGTGTGTGTGTGTGTG